CGTAATCTTAATTTAATCATTTTTAATTATATACGCTTAATTCTGGAATCCTCAGAGGACTCGTGTGTCAAACAGAATTCAGGCGTTATTCTAGTAGTGGTTATCCATCAATTAGATTTTTGGTGATGTTTGAAGGAATTTGGTGGTTAGGTAAAATACTTTAATTACAAATCCATTATTCATGGTTCATTATTATTTGGTGTATCTTTCATCATTTTTCATCAAATGTTTTTTATGAAATTGATAAAATGGATATTAAAATTAGTTCCACTCTTATTAATTTTTGACTAGTATTACTTTCATTTTAATTTTAGTTACTTTTAATCACAACTAATTCAGACCGTTACTCTAAGGCTATTAGAGTGGTAATAAAAATAATGCCTCTTTACTGATTGTGTTACTAGAGCCAAGAAATACAAAAGTGAATAACTAGCCATATGAGATCGTTCGTTATAATAAAAATGATTGAGCTCATATTGTTAGAATTTCAAAAAAAATCTTAACATTATGATTATCGACAAATTGTTAGTCATTTTTATCCTAACATCAAGAATGATAGTAAATAGTATGGATTAATAATAAAGAACAAAAATTGTCGAGATTAACTCGCATCCCTTTTTTTCCGTGAAGTTATTAGGCTACGAATCCTTAAGGCTGATAGGTAATGAAATATAACAATAAAGCCATTCCTATCTTCTCTGACATCGTTATCTTACATATTTATTAGTAATGATGTTGCTTTTATTACTTCGATAGAGCATCTTAATTTTCGACATATTCCTATTATCTTAATTTCAGTTGCTTTTTTTTATTGCAGCACTCTAACCCTAGTCTGACGGTCTGAATGGCTGCAATGAAATGCAACTGAAATTAAGATGAAAGAAATAAAAACCAAAAGTTATGAAAATTGAGAATGTTTCATATAACAACTAAATTTCAAATAATATTGCAAATAATAGGACAATTGTATAAAAACAAAATAATAACATCTAATATGACGGTGCAGAGTGAGGTCAAAGCTAAATAAATAATGTATCTCTCTCTCTCTCTCTCTCTCTCTCTCTCAATATATATATATATATATATATATATATATATATACACACATATGCATACATGTATATATGTGTGTGTATGTGAGAGAGAGAGGGGGGAGGGAGAGAGAGAGATAAAATATACTGGATGCAATAGCTAAATGATCGTCTAATTTGCGTAAAAATAAAAATAACACTGACATCTCATTTTAACAGATATATTTACCAAAATTGCACAAAAATATCCTGAAATGCGAAAGAGGAAATTTATTCAATAAAGTTGCCATTGGCTTCAACTACGGCCTCCAGATGACTTCGGAATCTCCTGCAACTCTTCTCCCCTTGTTTAAGTTGGCAAATGCTGCCATAATCCGTGCCTTCAGTTCATCTTTGGTGTTACAAGGCGTTTTGTTGGTCTCCCGCACAACTGCACCCCACACATAATAATCAAGGGGTTTACAGACTGGGGAGTTAGATGGTCAGATGTGATGTGGTCACAGAAATTGTTTGATAGCCATGACTGGGTTATCCTGTTTTTGTGGCATGTTGCAGAGTCCTGTTGATAGACATAAGATGTTCCAGTAGCCACCATCTTTACCCAGGGCAGCTCCTAAAAGAACTTGATGTAGGTTTATGTGCTGAGTTTGAGGCCCACACCAAAAATTCGGTAGTTTTTCTCTTATCAGAACGATCATCATGAGTTTTTCGAGCTGCCGTACCTTCGTAATTACCATTAGACTCACCCAACTCTTTCCTAATCCTCTGCACTGTCCTCAGATTGACACCCAAACACTCGGAAATGTTTGTATTGGAGTTTCCGGTGCGAATGCCAAGCAGTACAGCATGCTGTTTCCAAATTTCTGGAAGGGTGAATTTCAATCTGGTGCTCTTTTTCTCACAGGCAGTGTCCAACTGAGCCTACTATACTGTACACTCGACAAAAAAATGTGAATGCGCGAAATTAAATGTATAAAAATGGCGACAATTTAACCACGGCATCCTGTAGTTTTAATGTATGCTACATTCATGACTAAAAGTGCTTAAAAACAACGATAGACCGTGTATATATATATGAGTGGATACTGAGGTCAGCGCCTAGTGACAACAGTCTGTTTCATTCTTGAACGCAATATCCTGGCTATGTGCGTTGATTTGTAGCTTGGCTATTTATATATGCTGGCAAGTTAGGCATTATGGGAAGTAACGTCAGGTATTTCCGGTTTATTTTGTTACTCTAACGGTTATTTGATAGGTGAGACCGGTTATTTTAAATTGTTCTAAAGGTTATTGAATGGAAATAATCATGGACCAGAATGTGGTTATATCATAGAGATTGTATTGGGTTGTTTGATAGCTTTTAAGCTTTAACTCATTATTTACCATTCATTATTTAGCATGTCTTGTATTTATGCATTAAATATTTGCAATTGACTGTTATTAAATTTACTTAATTGTAGTTATTTGTGTATTGGTAGAGTTTGTTAATTTATTTATTATTTAGTGACATCATTTGATTTGTCATTATTTATTATTTTATGTATTTATTTTATTTTATACATACATATGAAGGAGATAGAGATTTTATCTCCTACTGCCGATAAAACTGTCTTAGCACAATCGGTTAGAGCACTTGTCACAGTAAAATGGACTTCTTGGAGGAAAAGGGATGTGAGTTTTGTCGCGAGCCTATTGTTTATTTTTGTTTCCCAATGTTTAGCAATGATCATAGACTAACGGTGTGAGTTGTTGCAATATTAAGCGAATGAACGTAAAATGAAATAAAAAACTGTACAAAATTAATAATCGTTAAATACATATTTTCTTTTATAAAATTTCCGAAAAAATGTCATCAGCAAAAAAGAAAAGTAACATAGGTACATACTCTCAGATTAATATATAGATCATAGAGATAATGTGGATTTTTAAATGTACAAACATTAAGTAATTGTAATGCTACCATTTAAGGTAGCATTTTTAATATTTGTTTGCCGAAATCAGTAATATTGCCTTGAATTTTTATTATTATTGATGAAACATTGTCCGGCTTTGATAATTTTTATTAGCATTTCTTTCGTCTTAATTACGACTACCAAAAAAAAAAAAAAGAAAGAAAGAAATTGTTGAAATTAAATTGAGACTATACTAGAAGTCAATTATAATTCACAATGATTTATCAAACGATTTTAATTTATGACAAAAGTTCAGCAAAAATTTGCGAAGTGTTAAAAAGAAAATTAAAAATAAAGTAGCTATTTATTTGAAATTTCGTATAAGGTATATGATATTGTCTTGAAATAATCAAAAGAAGGTATAATTATGTTCCTGAAAAAGGATTTCAATAGAAAGGAAGTAACTCCGAAAATTTTCTCGTGGATAATATTTATTTTAATTATATTCGGTTCTGTAATAAGTATAGCGTCTCATTTACTATTTTTAAAAACCTCCATCACTTATTATTTCCCTGTAAACTCTCTAGAAAAAATTCAGTTTGAGAAAATGAATATTAAGAATTGCGAAACTGTTTTGATACAGATTCTAAGACTTCATTAAAATTATAATTCATTGAATTCGAATCATATGGAACCAAATAAATCACTCCTTGTGATTTTAAAAGTATTTTAAGAGAAATAGACATTCGAAGGTGGTTCTCATGATAAATATTCTGTTGAATAAAAGAAAACCCTTGTAGCAGTTCTGCAGAAATGCAAATTTTACTATAAACAGGAATTAGAACGATTTAAACGTAAAACCCACTGAGATTCTACGCAAAGAGATATGTTTCTGACATGCCAAAACAAGCATTTCGCTCTTTCCATTACAACGTGAGAGTAATGATAAAAATAATAACAAACTGTTTATTTCTGCTATGAAAATGACTAAACGTTACTATGAAAATCTTGAAGGAGGCAAAATAGATAACGCAGATAAAGAAAAACGTGCTTCGGGAGGTGGTTGTAGATAAAAGGCATCTCATCTACGAGTAGCACTGTTTGATTGACTTGTAGATATACGCATGTATTTGAATGCAATTGAAACTTCAATATTATTCATGCCTTTTCGCATTCAGTTCATGACTATATAAAACAACGCTAAACGATCCGTGAAGAATAACAATTGAAAGTTCGAAACATGTTTTAGAAAGTTTATATTTATTGGAGGCAAAATTGTAGATATAAAAGAAAACAGTAAAATCAGAGGAATTCTACAATTAATCAAATATTGTTTTGCTATAATCATTTCTGTTTGGTTAGTCTTTCTTTATAAAAAAAAAGTATTAGTTGTGGATGCCCAGTTAATTACATTTCCCTAATTATATCGTTATACTTTTTTCTTTTTTCTTTTTGCAAATGATATAATGTATAAAAGTACTGAGAAAATTATTTTAAACTGGGCCTCAAAGCCGTTGAAGTTGCTCGCAGACATCAGAATTTGGAAGGATATCGACAAATATTCAGATATCCAAATTGTTTAAGATTTTTTTTAAAGTTGTTCTTTGAAATAATGTCAAGAAATTAATGACTACCATTTTTCTATTACTTTACTTTAAAAAGTAAAATATAAGTTTATCTGAAAACGAGACTTCGAAAACTTTCAGAAGGAGCAGAGTATCATTTAAAGACTTCATATTGAGAGCATTTAAAACATTCAGGATATCTAGAAAATGAGAATATTCTTAATTTACCCCAATATCTAAAATTAATTAACAGACACATACTTGACTTATATTTTAGTTATAAAACGGCTCACAGATCAAAATTCTCTAGCACAAATGTAATTGTTTCATATTCATATAGAGACAATAGTTATGTCAAAACCGCATATGATACGATGATATCTCACATATATAATTCACGCCTAATCATACGCAAATCTGCTATACTGTCTGAATGGCTACCCAGAAATAATGGCGTTAAGAATAATAGTGAAGTCAGTCATTCTTATGGCTGTCGTTATTATTGCATTAATTCAACTTATCAGAAAAAGGACGGGTTGGCGTGCCACGTATTTGGGGAGTAATATGTTGCTGGATCTGTTAAAAAAATTAGAAACAGATCGCAAATGCTGGGTCGTGAGAAAGTGTGCGGAAAATAACTCTGAGGACAATGACAAGCAGAACGACCAGACTGTCGTTGATAGAGCTTGAAGAAGAGATACGCTAGTAAGTAAATGTATAGATAAAGTGGTGTATGTGCATCCAATCGATTTGTCTGTTAAGAAAAAATAGTTTCTCTCTATGTAAGTAGGTGTGTGCAAAATTACACATATATAGATGTACGTATGTATGCAAGCATGATGGCGGGCATTATCTATCTATCTCAGTCAGTTCGAATCAAAACACAAACACATTTACAGAGAGATAAAAATGCACACATTTAGATATATAAACAGGCAAACAAATATTTACAGGATATGAATCACACACACACACACACACACATATATATATATATATATATATATATATAATTATTTTTTATAAAAAATTATAACATAAGTATGTTATAAGATCACTACAAAAATAGCCATTTTGGTTCAACACATTCTGTGTCTTCTCAAGTGATGATGTTGAAAATAAAATAAATGGTTTTAAAAGTTTCAGATTAATTAACGATCCTACACTGGGGGAGCATTGTTACAAAAGCTAGAATAACCAATCAAAAACGAAGTATAGAAAGATTCAAAAAGCTTGACAACGAAATCCTGCTATAATAGCTATTCAGATCTTTAAATACGTGTAATATTAAAAATAATTTATACTAACTAATAATTATAAAATCATATGATAAAATTTAATATTAAAATTAAAAATTGGTAATTTTAAAATCCAAATTTAATCACTATTAAGTTAAAAACTACAAAATTATTGAGAAAAAAAAAAAATATATATGTTTATTCAATTCATTTCTTCATTGAAATTATGTTCGACAAGGACGCTACAATATATCCGGTCATTTGATAATACATGTATATATATATTTTTTTCCTTTTCCTTTCATTTCCGTTTTTATTTTAAAGTTTGTGGATGTGGTCTTAAACTCACGCGTCAAGACAACAAAAACACAATCAGATTATAATACATAAGCACCCAGACATAATTAGATATACACACACACACACACACACACACACACAAACACACACACACACACACACACACACACACATACACACTAAAAAAAAAAAAAAAAAAAAAGGAGGTGGTGGGGGAAAACATGAACATCTCTACAGCCCTTTATGAAAAAAGGAGACGTGGAAACTAACACTAACACACACACACAGTGAATACACTCTACATACACATAGACACCGATAGATACACATACATACATCCACAGACAATGACAGACAATGAGAAATCACAACCAATAAATATTTCAGACTTAAATAAATGCTAACCACTTATTGAATTATAACTTAAGGGAGCAAATATACAAAGATAAAAATGGTTAAAAATAATATTATTTAATATATTAAAACGAAAATTCTAAAACCATAAATATCAATAAAAATATATATTAATCATATAAGTTGATAATAGCTTCATTATATATTAGGCAAGGAAAAACAGTATACAGAAACACACAACTATAGCTGAATAGCTATTATAGCAGGATTTCGTTGTCAAGCTTTTGAATCTTTCTATACTTCGTTTTTGATTGGTTATTCTAGCTTTTGTAACAATGCTCCCCCTAGTGTAGGATCGTTAATTAATCTGAAACTTTTTAAAACCATTTATTTTATTTTCAACATCATCACTTGAGAAGACACAGAATGTGTTGAAACAAAATGGCTATTTTTGTAGTGATCTTATAACATACTTATGTTATAATGTTTTATAAAAAATAATTATATCTGCTCTACTTTGTATTGAGCACTCTTTTAAGAATAGTAATTGTTGGTTATTTGAATTCATTCCGTATATACCAATTATATACTTTTATATATATATATATATATATAATTTGTAACTCTGTCTAAACATAATTCGATTCCCCCTTCATCCATCAAACCTAATATTCTCAAGAAATTACTGCACTCTTGCACAACTAAAGTCCCTTTCTACAGACGTAATGTCAATATTTATCCTCAAACTAAAAGCGTTAGCATGGGAAATCCACTTGGACTGTGTTTTTTCTAAATATTACATGTCTCATGTTGAAAACAAGTATTTGAAAAATTTAATAAACCTAAAATATACATGCGCTATGTAAATATGTTTTATTTTAGCCGAAAAAAAAAATGAAATCCATAATCTCAAAAGTACATTTGCAAAAAACAAATTAACTTACCCTACGAACTTAGTCAAAAACATAAACTCTCATTCTTAGTCGTTCTTGTAGAATCTTGTAATAACACATTAGCTGCATCATTATGCAAAAAAAAAACACAAATAGAAAAATGTCTACTTAGATATAAAATATATGCCATAAAAATGTTCTCTTAAAGAACACAACACTGTGAAACAGACGATAGTTAATTATTTTATTCAAATCGACCTTCTGTTGTGAAGTAAAATATAAAATCTTAAAACTACTGCTATTGATGTTCCACATTCGTGACCTTATGTCAGACAAAGATAAGATTAATAAATAATTATCATGCATGCATACCTCACTTCGAAGTAATGGTGTGAAAACTAAACACGCAGATCATTTCTACCGCAGTGAGGTAATTTCCCTTTACGTGTTGTATTCTTCTGGTCTCGTTCCAGAATAAACTATGACGGCTGCCTTACTGGGGAGTAATAATGAGCAAGCTTATCTAATAGATCATTACTACTCTAGTTATTTTCCTTTCATTTGTAACCATGTTCCAGACTAAGCTTAGTAGATTACTATTAAATTACTAGGCACGGTGAAGTAATGGATAGCAGCTCGGATTGAGGAATCGGAGAGCCGAGTTCGAATTCCACTCAAATCCATTACATTCACTTACGTGATAATGCACTTGGGACAGGTTGAATCCCCTTCTTCTCTCACCAGCTACGGATAAATAGCAGAGCAGACTGTGTTCTGTAGCCTTGGATGGCAACTGGTCTACCGCAAAAAGAAATGGCAACCTACTGCGGGGAAAAAATCTCTATGATACATGATCACCTAAGCGTGTATCAGGCATGACACATAACTGACTGAACTGAGATTACTTAAGTAGATTAATAATTTTAATAGTAATTATTTTAATAATAATTCTAATAGTAGATAGCAACTTAAAAAAATTAATAATTTTCATGATAGTAACTTAAAGATATTAATGATTTTAATAATAGATTACTTAAGATTATTTAAGTAGATTACTTAATAATAATGACTTAGTAGATTACTATTTTAGATTAAGCTCAGTAGATTAGTATTATTGGTATCTTATAGTAGAATAATAGGAAACCAAATAGAAGATCATTCATATAAGGAACTAATTTCTCACTTGGTGCTCCACGGTCTTGGCTTCGTGCTAGGTTTAGCTAATTTATGCAATAGCATAGTAACTTTAGTGTGAAAAAAAAACTCAGTTACTTTCATAGTCTATTACTATTTTAGCAAGTTCGATTACTAGTGAGTACTCTATACATATCGTTTTGAACCAGACTAATGTTACATAATGTGTAAAAGACGAGTAACAATATATATGCGTGTGTGTATGCTTGCGTGTGCATATTTATATATGTGTGTTTGTATGTGAGTCTATGTGCTTGTATGTTTTCTGTGGGAATTTGTAGTTATGTGGGTATGCGTATGTAGATGTCTGTCACTGCAGATGTTCGTGGGTATATTAGCACGCGTGCAAATAATTTCTGCACGTGTGTGTGCCTGTGAATGCGCCTATATATGTGTGCACTTGTGGATTTCTTTTGATTATGTTTGTATACAATGATTCATTCTTTCATATCTGCTTATAAATATATGTATATGTTATGTAGTATGCTCTTGTCTCTTAAAGTATTTCTATAAGTCTACATTCTCCAAATTTCTAACTGAAGACCTTGAAAGATGTCAGTTAGTGTTGATCATCATGCAGTAGACGCCCGGAACCAAACGATGTAGGGTGGAAGAGATTTCCACATTAATGACTAACCATAGCTTTTATATCCCTTACTTCCTATAATCTCCACGTCATTACAACTTCAGTTCTGATTTCTCAGTGCGAAGACAGGGGTCATGCTTCACTGCAAGCCGGACACCGAGTAGCCAACGCTGGAGATTGAATTAAACACAGCAAATATTGTTTGGATTCCTTCTATGCCAGAATCCGTTGACGTTAAATTAAGAACGGGCACTTTGTGTGCAGTAGATCAGTTGTTGTTAATTTACATGTTCACTGTTTTGACTGAAGCTGGTCATCTATAAAAAAAAAAAAGGGAGAAAAATAAATAAAATGTGCTGGAGAGAAAGAATAAAATTCAGGTTCAGTCTTGTTTATTGACATACAAAAAACGACAAATGAAATGAAAAAAGAAAGAAAAGAAAAGTCACGCTTATCAAGATAGAAGCGAATCAAATATTTTCTAAATGAAAGAAAACGTTGAAGAGGAACTTTGAAATATATATATATATATATATATATATATATGGATGTTATAGAAAAATATTTAGCAATAAAAATGTGCAGACTACAGAGTCGCCTTTAAGTACAATTAAAGCTACTATTTACTAAGTGGGTAAATACAAATATAAAATATAAAAGGATAAATATAAATTTCATGCTATTTAACAACTAAAATAAAAGATTTAAACAAAAAATTATTTGTTTAAAGCTTATTTGAAAACTATTTTATTATTTGAAAAACTACTGAATTTTGAATAATTTTACGAAAAGGAGTATTTTCACACAAAACTTTCAAGTTTTTTATATTCTTCATTTTTTAGTACTATTTTTAGTTTTGTTTTTTGTTTGTTTCGTCTTCCATCAATACATTTTATAGTTAATACATTTTCTTTAGATATTTAAATGATTTTTATTTTGTTTAAATG